GGTCAGGACTGAATTGATGTGTTCAATTAAATTCTGTGTCAGAAAAATCTGAGATCAAGAAACAAATTGTTGGACAATAAGTATGACTATGTTCCACGTAATTGTCCGCACAATATCTGGAATGGAGGACTATACGATCCCTTATCTAAAGGACAAGTTACTGATAAGATCAGAGTTCGACAGCAGCTTATGAAAGCTACGATTGCTAATCGGATCCTGAAGTCGTACTTGCATTTGTAGTTATTAGCTAGACTTATCCAAGTGGGAGACTGTTGGATTAGTGTCTAAGTCCATAACTATATTTGGTATGTACTTGACCCGGTTGTAACATGATCCTTTTCGGTTGCCTTCACACTGGTGACTAGACAGGATGATTGTTGAGGAGAGAGGCTGATTTATTGTTAAGAATAACAAATTGGGGGTATAAATATGGTTTGTTATAATTATATGAATAATATATTAATTTGGAATCATATTATTAATTAGTATTTAATCAGAAATTAATTAGGAATTAATTTTGGGATTAAAGGAATTAATTAAAGTGTAGGGGTTGTTTTGTAAATATTTGATAGTTGAGACTTTGGGCCATTGGATCACCTTTATTAAGGCTTGGCCGAAAATCCTAGAAGGATATAGGAGTTTTCGTCCAAGGGCTTAAGGAAAGGAGTCCATGGGTTTGCTTAGGCCCTAAGCTAAGGGATTAGGGTTTCCACCTTGAAACCCTAGTTGACTTCAACTATAAATAGCACCCTAAGGCACTCAAAATCGGCACCCCTTGGAGAAACCCTAGCAGAGCCAATTTTGTGAGCTTGTTACCCTCCATCCTCTCTCTCATATTCATCCTTTCACTCAAGTGTGTTTGTGAGGCATTAGAGGTACTACACTTGTGGTACTTGCTTTCAAAGCTAAGGAGATTCAAGAAACAAGTTGTTATTACTATATAACAACAAAAGGTATGTGTTATATTCTTCTATGTGAATTTCAAAAATTGTAGAAGCATGTTAGGTTTCTTTTGTGTTCATAACATATAAGGATTTATCAGCAACCCCGAGCTATCAGCAGGTCACATACAACAAATTGTGTTATCAGCAACCCCGAGCTATCATCAGCTCACATACAACATATGATATATGTAACACGGTGTGGAAACTCGATTGAATCGAATACCCAAGGAATGTAGCAATACCCTCACTCTCCGCACCGACTGTACCAGCGAACCGACTCCAACATCTCAGAAATTTGAAGGATATCATGATTCCAAACTGGTCCCTTGCTCCTTTGCACCAAAATGATCTTTCATATTCCTCAAGCTCCACCAAAATCCAAGAACAAGGTCTTCAATCAAGCAAAAAAGTTCCTAACCATCTATGTAGGCTAGGTTTTTATTGTTAAAGGGTTAGATGTTGAAGAGGATGCCCTAATCCTTGAGATTAAGAGATTAAAGATGGAAGAAACCCTAAAAAATCATGGGCTTGGGCTACAGATACTGCCACGTCGTGACATTCTTCTTGCCACATCGTGGTGGCCATCAAGTACACATTTCATGCTTTTGGCATGCCACGTCGTAGTGCTCCATTCACCAGGTCGTGACACTATATTTTTCCCAAAAATCATCCATTTGATCCATGCAATTCCTCAACTAATCCATCCTAGAAAATGGGTGTTACATCTATTAAGTTTTGATTATGGACAACTCTTGATCCATGCAATTCCTCAACTAATCCTTCCTAGAAAATGGGTGTTACATCTAGTAAGTTTTGATTATGGACAACTCGAAGAGCATGGTAAGTATTATTATGATTTATATAATTGTTATTTTTATTCATGTATTATAAACTATTATGACTAATATTTTTAATTATACTTTTCAGTTGAGCCACCAAAAAGAACATGATTATCCAAAAACATCCAACTCTCAAAGTTGTTAAAAAAAACAGGGGGAGTTTGTGGGTTAGGATTTAGAGAGAGATATCACATGTTCCCCTATCGGGAAACGTGGCAATATGTTTACCCGTGAGATTGGGCGGTATATGTGGGAGAACATCCCTTTTAGCGTAACTGGTTGGGACAATGTTTCCTCTGCTTTAAGGAATGTCACAGTCATGAATCTGAAGATAAATTATTTATATGATAATATTTTAAGTTTATTTGTGATTGATATTTAATTAACTAACTTTTTGTATTTGTAGAGAATGTTTGATTTTGGAACAAGTTAACTTGGATCCCGAGCGTGCTCAGTTGTTGCGGAGCATTCATGCTTCTCTACAAAACATTATAGAGACCAGAAAACAAAACGATTAATCATTTTGAGAGATTCGGAAGGCGTAGATATCCCAAGGGCATTAACCACCCCCCCCCCCCCCCCGCGCCGCCGCCAAGGGTATGTCACGTGAAAATTGGGTGCAAGAAGTTAAAATTTTTTAAACTCCCTAATTAATAAAGCATTCGATGGCAAAAAAAAGTAGTACGTGCATTACAACAATACATACATAAATGGGGTCGTGCTCGTATATTAGTACTTGTTTCAAAGAAGTAAGTTATGAAATATATATATATATATATATATATATATATATATATATATATAATTGTTTATTTAAAGTATAATTAATCTAATTTTAATGTTAAATAGGAACTAAGTAGACTTGAGGTCTTTTATAAGACTCATACTGATCGCCAAGGGATATTCACAAGTGCTATAGCCGAACAACAATATGTCAGTGGTTAAATATAATATTTTCATATAAGTGTTTATTTATATTATGATGTCAATCATTTTTTGAAAATACAGAATGCTTTAGTCCAAGAGTTAAATCAATAAACTCAAGCTTTAACCGAAGAAAGACGTCTAACACCATAGGAAGTAAGAAATGCTTTTCAAAAAAAAAAATTGGGTGTTCGACGCGGATATATGAGAGGCATCGGGCGTAAACCTTACATGGTTGTGTCGACATATGATCATGAACAATCATTACATCCACAATCACAGATAACAAGACTATTTAATTTTCAAATCTCTTATATATATATATATATATATATATATATATATATATATATATATATATATATATATATATATATATATATATATATATATATATACTTCGGTTATAGTTTGATATGTTGGTATTTGTAATTTGGTAATTGTTAGTTGGTTATAGTTTGGTAATTATTAGTTTGGTTATGTTTTGGTAATAGTTTGATATGTTGCTAATTGTTGGTTTGATAATAGATTATATGTTGGTAATTGTTAGTTTGTTATAGTTTGATATGTTGGTATTTCGTAGTTTGGTAATTGTTACTTTGGTTATGTTTTGGTAATAGTTTGATATATTGGTAATTGTTAGTTTGATAATAGTTTCTATGCTGTTAATTGTTAGTTTGGTTATAGCTTGATATGTTGCTATTTTGTAGTTTGATAATTGTTAGTTTGGTTATGTTTTGGTAATTGTTAGTTTCGTAATAGTTTGATATGTTTTTAATTGTTAGTTAGGAAATAGTTTATATGTTGGGAATTGTTAGTGTGGTTATAGTTTGATATGTTGGTATTTTGTAGTTTGTTAATTTTTAGTTTAGTTATATGTTGTTAATTTGTAGTTTGGTATAATGTTAGTTTTTTTGTAGTTGGATATGTTCCAAGCAATACTAAGAAACCCGACATCTAGTGCGACATATGAAGAATGGTTTTGAGCCTTCCCAGCACGAAGAAATGATACCGGAGGGAACAAGGGGAGTGATGATGACATGTAGCTAGTTTTAAGATTTATGATGTTTTGTAAAATTATAATATATTTTGCACTTGAATGTTTGATTAATATTTTGGGATTGATGTCGTATTATTAAATTTTAATGTATCGATTTATTTATCTATAATTAATATTTCATAGCAGTTTTTTTATATTTTTTTAACGTTTGTTTTGTATTTGGAATGAACGGTTTTATAAAAATTGAAAAAAAAGAGAAAACTACAATTAGTGGTAATATTTTTAGTGGCGACGGATAGCATTAGTGGCGACGGATATCATTAGTGGCGATGCATAATATTAGTGGCGACGCACAATATTAGCAACAACAGTACAAGTATTAGTGACGTCTTGGGCCTTTAACGGCGATGCCGGTCGCCAATAAAGATCATTATTCTTGTAGTGATTCCATCTACAAGCAACAAAAGAGATTGCATGAAAGAAAGTAATGCCCAGGTCAAACACAACACTTCAAAAGAAGGTTGCACTGACTTATGTAAGAAAATAGTTTCAGAACAATTTCATCTTTAACATCAGTCGCATCCTTGGTATTTGTCAATTTATCAAACGGTTTGATAAATGCTTAATATTCAGAACATTGTTGACCGTACACAAATCTTTTATGACAATAAAATGCATTAACGTAACATATATAGAAGAACAAGAAACCCCAATTAATCAAACAATTAAAATCTACAATCAACTCCAAACTCCAAAATACAGAGATCTATATTCATCTTCCTTCAAAATCTTCGATCTTGGAGAACAAAGGAGAACCAATCACGATGCCTGAGTCATCATTTATAAGGATACTAACATCACTGTCGTTATTTGTTTCATCGCCTTTCTTGGATTTTTCAGAAGCAACGATCTTATTTGTCTTTGCGTCGCATGTATCATCTTCTTCAGGAGGATCGAGCTGCAAAGATGCATCTTGAAGTTGCAAAGCGAACTCCAAGTTCCAGAGAACGTCTCCCATGGAAGGTCTATCAACACCATACTCTGCTAGACACTTTTCTGCTGCTTCCACATATTTTATTAATGATTCAGAGCATATCGTTTTCACAATTTTAGGATCAACAATCATCTCAATCACACCCTTCCTTTGTTTTGCCATTGCCCATTCGGCTAAATTCACTTGTTCTCTGGGCAATGCAGGATCAAGAGCGGGTCTAGCGCATAAGATCTCAAAAAGGACAACACCGAATGAGTAAACATCAGATTTCTCAGTAAGTTGTTGCCTCCGGAAGTATTCCGGATCAAGATACCCGAAACTGCCCTTCACCGCCGTGCTCACATGAGTTTGGTCCAAAGCTGGTCCGGTTTTTGACAACCCAAAATCAGAGACTTTAGCCACTAGATTCTCATCCAAGAGAATGTTAGTGGTTTTTACATCCCGGTGGATTATCCCATGTGATGATCCACCGGTATGTAGGTAGTGCAACCCTCGAGCTGCACCAATGCTGATCTCGAGACGCTGCCTCCATGTCAAAGAAGGTAGGGTTGATCCGTAGATGTGATCACGAAGTGGTCCATTAGCCATGTACTCATACACTAAAATCATTTCACTATTTTCGTCGCAGTAGCCTATCAATGAAACGAGATGTCGGTGTCTAAGCTTGGATAGCAGTTGAATTTCGGTTTGAAATTCGTTAATTCCTTGCGAAGATCTAGGGTTTCCTCTCTTTATTGCAAGCTTTGTTCCTGCTTCTACCTCCCCTATATAAACTTTCCCGAACCCTCCAACGCCGATTACTACACTTTCATCGAAATTCTTTGTTGCGTCTCGTAGCTCATTAAAAGTGAATGATCGGCCGAAGCCAATATTGGAAGAGAAAACACTCGAGTACCCATTCTTGCTCTTGCTCTTGCTAGATAGCAAAGTACTACAATAACTCGCGTTAAGGGGAAGAAACCATGACTTGGAACTAGTTCCGCCCTGGTCCCAACCCTTGGCCTTGTTTTTATTCCGAATGAAAGCAAAGATGAGGAGCAACAACGCAATTGCTGCTGCCCCAACACCAACTGCCTCGGCAATAGTCGTGGTGCGTGACACACCACGACTATTCCTCCTAGATGAGAATAACCCATCTAAGGTGCCTGCAGCGTTTCTCATCTTCATGATCTCCAAGCCGTTTAGTATGGCGTTGGGAATGGCGGATTCAAGATCGGATGGTCCAACCTGAACACGTATCAAACCGTTGGAAACGGCGGATGCATTGACCACAAAATCTTTGTAGTAGGGAACCGCTAGGTTTGAAGTGAGTGATGACAAGTCTAGCCCTGAGATCCCCATCATGTTGTTTACATACACATTGAAATAGAGGGTGTTCATACCGGTGCTCACGATATCACAAAAGTGCAGCCTTATCAAGTAATTGAACCCCGAATCTACATTCATCTCCCAAGTCAGGTTGAAATTTGCATTGGAGACACCGGACTCTTCCATTGAAGCCGCCGAGGAGTAAACTTGGTTCGGTGCAATCAAAGGAGTGGCTCCTCCAACCGGATAAGTTATTGTACTCGGATCAACGGAAACAAGTTTGTCACCCTTGGGAAACATCATGTATCCATGACTATCACTCTTCCATGTCCTTGACAATGTGTCGTTTTTTGGACTAACCATTGGCCCTCCGACATTAACTCTATGCACAATCTGAAGGTCATAATCTGACATACCGTTAAAAACTCCAGGAGGAGAGATAATGGTTGCGGAATCAGGAACGAGCTCATCGGGGGCTGAAACAAACTCGATGGCGTTCACGAAAGCAAAAGATTTCTTCAATGGGGAGAAAACGAGTGAGAAATCATCAGAAGTGACGTTAATGAGGTATTCTTTGAAATGAGAATCCGAATTCTTTGTGGCTGAAAAATCATGCAAAAGAACTAGACCTTCTGTTTTCACGGTGAAAACCGCCGTGGTGAGATTATATGACGGGTGGTGGAGAGGGTAGAAGTAGAGTCGTAGGAAATGGCGGCCAGGTTGAAAAACGAGAAACCTATAAACTGATTCGCTGTCGAAGATTCTTGCAGTCCGGTATAAAGGGAGCGTTTCGTTTTCCGGGATGGAATTTGAGGTGGCGAATATGTTTTCGTCGGTGGATAGGTAGGAAACCGATTGAGGGTCGGATTTAAACGTTCGGCCGTCGTCAAGGATGGTGTTTTGAGGTGATCCACAGTCGATGAGGTAGTTGTCTGAAGGAGTGAATCGGGCATTGGTAGAAAGAAAGTAAAAGATGATGAATAATGAGGAGAGAAAGGATGCTGATAACTTGCGTCCTCCTCCCATGGCGGCGACGGTGATGGATTAGAGAGGAGGGGTAGGGTCTATACGAAAAGGGTTAAAGAAACAAAAGTGTTGGGAAGCATGTTGAGGAGTAGGGTTAAGACGTGCACTCTTGTAGTGTGTTTATCGTTCTGTCATCACAAGACTTTTGTCTGGGTGACAATTAATTTACAATTATTATATTATTTCAAGTGTTCATTTATAAATAAAAATGGAATTTTCAACCACCTTTATTTATTCTTATATAACCTTAGTATCTTAATTCTTAAACCCTTTACCATATACACAAGGATCTAGTATTATCGGCGTGGCTTTAATTAACACATTGATAGTAGTACATAGGGGTGTCGGTGTTTTGAAATGATCATGTAATCTATTAAAATTGTAATGTACACAGTATTATTAGAAAGTTTCGTTATAAAGCAGGTTGAGTTCTATTAGACAAAGGGAAATGTTGCATAGAAGGTGGCTTATTTGAAGGAAGTTATGTTTTAACTTTTAACATAGTAAATTACAATTTTGGTCCTTTTGATTGGATTAGTTTACAGTTTTGGTCCAAGTTTTGAAAAATTAGCACGGTTGGTCTTTGACAGTTACTGTGAACCCCCCTGTTAAATTCCTGTAAAGTAACCTTTATTCATTTTTGTTATTTTGTCATTTTATGAACTTGAGAGACCATTCCAATATGACCGCTTCACTTGGGTCTACTTTACCAATATATTTTTCTATGGAAGCAAGTGGGCTTTTTGAAGTTTGACCCAGGAGAGGATTTATGTAGGTGAACAGGGTAGAGAGGGTAGTATGTGGTATCCCTCAAATTTTCAGACACAATGGAAAATTTTTGAGACTAATTTTGATGTAGTGTAATTTTCTCGGCATGCTACCTCGAAAAATTACATGTGCTACCCATGACATTTTGTTCTGACTTCGCCACTGTTTGACCCACTGTTTTTTATAAGAGATACATATATAATATCATAAGTGTCTTAACTTGTTGCAACCACAATCAATCACCACTTTACCTCCAATGAACCACCAATGATCTCTCTCTCTCCATAAATATATAAAAAATAAGTATAAACTAACAAATTAAATAACTGTTTCAATTACAAAGTTAATTTCTTTATTGCTAAATTTATGTTTCATATTTCTATGGTCCATTTATGTTTCGTATTCCCAAAGTCCATTTTGATCATATATTTCTAACTTAAGGTGTCTTTATCGGTAATTTTTATTTCAGTTCATCCATTATTGTTAACTGATTTTGTTTCATATTTCCATGGTTTGGTGCTGGAGAAAATACTAGTGAGAGGATGGTCGACAGGGGCGGACCGGGGGGGGGGGGGGGGGGGGGGGGAGGGGGAGGACCATGGTGGCACCGGCAACCCCTGACTTTTCCGGTCGCAGTGGAAAAAATTTCGAAAATTTTATTTTTTCTACTACCGTACAACTCCTGACTTTCCCGTACACCCCGTACTTTGAAATCTTGCGTCCGCCCCAGATGGTCGAGATGGTGGTGGTGGACCCTTTATATTTAAAAATAATTATATATAGTAAAAAACAAAAAGAAAAGAGATGTATACATTTCATAAGGACTTAACGGAGATTCTCCAACTGAGTTAGACTAAAGGTCCATCCGTATTTTTATTTTTTTTATAAAAAAGGACCATTCATATCAACGTTTTTAAAACTTGGACTAAACCTACAAAAGGTAACAACCACATGGACAAAAATTGTAAATTACTGTTAATCTAATGTAATAACTAAATACCAAATCATTGCAATAAAGTCCAAAACGCGTCTACAGCTTGGTATCACAATTCTTTCGCCTATTTCTTGTGAAAGGATATTGGGAATTGTTTAATCGTCTAATAATTTTGCAGAGGATAATCTATATTTTCTGAAAGTTGACTTATCTAAAATTTGCTTAATCAAAGCCTCATTTTCTTAATTACTTGTAACTTTTGTCATTAAAATGTTTATATTAATCATACTACATTTGATCCTTTCAACATTCGGAAAAACGATACCCACCGTCCCATAACTAAAGACATTTTCTTTTTATGTGTTTTATGAGATACAAGAATTCGATTTTAGTTCAATTTGTTGGATATTGGAAACCCGTCGGGAGTGCGTTTGTATATCACACTTATATATATGAAACAATAAGTTAATAATACTCCAAAACTATATATTAAAGAATAAAATAACATATACTTTAACACAACTCTTCAGTTTAAGCATGAAGTTTACAAATGTTTAAACTATGCCAAAAGTTTAAAAATAACTGAGTAGGAAGTCCCGTTATAAATATATTTGCAAACTGGTGAGCCGATGGAACATTCAAGACATACATATGACCAATGGCAATGCGATTTCATAATAAAATGTAAATCGATTTTCACATGTTTGGTTCGTTGATCCTATACTATGTTCAAGGTTAAATATATAACACTCACATTGTCAAAAAAAACAACCGATGCTTTAGACAATGGACAAGATAACTTGAGTAGAAGATTCTGAAGCTAAGCAGCTTCGCGAACAACATTATGCGACCCTAGGTACTCAGCTTGTGATGAGGATCGAGAGAAAACATGTTGACGTTCAGAGGACCATGACACGAGATTATCGACAAGATTGACACAGAAACCAAAAGTGGATCTACATGTTTGAGGACACCCGACCCAGTCGACATCAAAGTAAGAAACTAAACTATCCACAGACGACAGACAGAGAAGAAGGCCATGCACAAGAGTACCTTGGAGATAGCAAAGAATACACTTAAGAGCCAGAAAATATGGTTCACAAGAATCATATATAGTAACAAATCTGTTGAACAACGTATGAAATATCAAGACGAGTGAACGTCGGGTACTACAAAGCTTCGACAAGGCTTCTGTATAGGGTGAGATCAACCACAAGAGTGTGATAAGGAGAGAAAGAGAGATAGGGCTTGTTGTCTATAGAGGTATTGCATGGATTGCATGATTCCATGACATGAGAGAGAACTTCGCTGGAAAAGGCGGTTTTGTTGGCTCCCGGTAATCCGCGAGCCAACAATGCCAAGAAAGAAGGAGAGAGGCCCTAAGTCCAACATCGGTCTAGATAACATGGGAGTAATAACCTGAGAAATGAGCGTAAAAGAGGAGACGATGTGGATGATATCATCAACATGTAGTAGAAGATATATGTGATCATATCCTCGATGGTAAGTGAATAGAGAACAATCAAAGCGGCTGCTTTGAAAACCAAGAATAGTGATGGAAACAGCAAAACGAAGAACATGGTTGGGAAGAGAAGGATGAGCATAGCCAGGAAGTTGTTTCATATAAACTTCTTTATTGGAATGACCATGAAGAAATTTATTGTTGAAGTCAAGGTGATTGATCAGCCTTTGGAAATGACAATACTGAGTATAGTGTGAATAGTTGTGGGTTTGACAACAAGGTTGAAGGTATCCTCAAAATCAATGTTAGGTTATTGGGAGAACTCCTGTGCGACAAGACGACCTTTATAATGCTTAAGTTTGTCTTTGTTATCAAACTTGTAACGGTACAACTATTGACAACCGACAATGTTGGAGTTAGATAGACGAGGAACATCTACATTTTGTAAGTGTTGAGTTTGAAGACTGAATGGATTTAGAACAATTAAACCTTATATTTTGCTTCAGACTGTTCTCACGACGTGGGACATGAGATCTCACGACGTGAGTATGAGAAACCCATCCCTTGCTGAGTTGTCTGAGTTAGGAACAAGTCTTTGAAATCGGATCAGGTGACTCTCACGACATGACCAAGGTTTGGTCACCATGTGAGACTTGATGTTGCGATTATTGATCGATCTTGTGGGTTAACTAGTTGTCCGGGAATTATTTTGGTCATTTTTGGGCTTAAGGACATGTTTGGTAAGGTCTAGACTCGAAAGGGTAAAATGGTCTTTTACCCTAAGGGATAGAAGGATGATTATTTAGGACCTTGATATTGATTAAATGCCTTAGTTTCTGATTTAGGTAACTTGTATATATTTAGTGTAAGGAGCCTTCGTATCAGCAGCCCGAGCATCTATTTGTGTATCAGCAGAGCAAGGTAAGTTTGCTCACTATACTATAGGACACTAGGATTGTATGTGCTTGTAGTCTTTGTGACTCCTGATGTATGCGTTGTATGCATGTGTGCCTGTTTGCTATATGTATGTGGGGTGAAATAGACCTGGTACAGCCTGGTGCTGACATATGAGTTGAAACAGACTCGGGGGTGAAATAGACCTGGTACAGCCTTCAGCTGACATATGAGTCGAAATAGACTCGGTGGTGAAATAGACCCAGTACAACTTTGAGCTGACATATATGTATGGTATGCGGTATCATGGGGAACACACTAAGCTTTGTGCTTACGGTTTTCAATTTATGTTTCAGGTAGTTCTGGTTTGAAAGGGTAGAGCTCGGGATGATCGCATTGCACACACCACGATTTTGCGCTCATTTGACTCTGATGTACCTTTGGGATATTTATGGATATTGTATGAATACTCTATGGATTTGAAAAACTTGTTTGGTTGATGGTTTAATTAATATAGAAACAAAAATACTTGGTTCTGAGTTTTGGGACGTTACACACACACACACACACACACATATATATATATATATATATATATATATATATATATATATATATGTATATATACATACATATAATTGAGAACCTTTTCAAATAAACCATTAAATTCCTAACTTAAGACTTCCAGAAAAGCTTGTGTTAACAATAAAAATAACACAAAAATCAAACTTCAAAACATACATAGACTTAAGAACCGTACATGGGGTCTACATTATGTTAAAGCAGGAAATGCGTGTTAGATGCATTTTATATGCATCTTTTAGTTCGTTTTTCTTGATATTTTCTTATAAAAAGCTAACTTTCTCCCTTGTATTGCTATAAATTGTGTATTTCTTATTGTATTTATAAAATGTCTCGTAGTACTCACTTTTGTTATGATTT